GGGGGGGTTAATGCTGATACTTTCACATCAATATCGACATAATTTAGATCATTTAGGGGGTGGGCTTCCGACCCTGCCTGTCAGAGCCAACCCAGACTGAGAGAGATACGACATCTCAGCAGAAAGACCGAGATACTGGATAAAAATGCTTCCCCTTTTCGAGAATCGAACTCGGATTTTCAGGGTGCGACAGCGAAGCGCCTGACCGTTACACCACAGACACCGGTAGGTCACTGTAGAAGGCAGTCGAAAGAGAGCGCAAGGTAGCGTCAAGGGGAAAAGGGTCAGAGGTCGACCGAAGAAGAGTGGGGGGACAACATCAAGGAATGGACAGGCCTGGACCTCAAAGACACGCTCGGGGAAGCTGAAGACGGGAAGGGGAGAAGGAAGCTGGTGGCCAAATCTTCGAAAGCGCACCGACGGACATCCAGTCTACGGGATAGGTGAGGGGAGGAGATAGGGATAATAATAATAATAATAATAGATAGCATTTGTATAGCGCATATCTCCGCTCAACAGTAGGCTCTATGCGCTTTACACTATATTATTACCCCAGCAGACCATAGAACGCTCCGAAACATTCTCAGCTTCCCGGGAAGCATACAGTGCAAGCAGCTGATTAAGCGCTCAAACACTAACAAACTGACAAGATCTTTCGCTGTCTATAGCCGGGTACCCATTCCCACCTGGGTGAAGTGGGGAAAATTCGTGTAAAGTGCCTTTCCCAAGGACACAACGTCGGGCCCCTGATGGGATTCGAACCCAGGACCTTACGGTTGCGAGTCCGAGAGCCTAACCACTAGGCCACCGACGCCACATCTAACGCCCCTGTCAACACCATTAGTTTGTTTAAGAGGCGGGACCGCTAAATTCAACGTCTGTCTCCGAAAACACCACACCAAATCAGAAATTGGTGTAAAGCGCCTTTCTCAAGGACACAACGTCGGACAGAACTGAGGCTCGAACCTCCGAACCCGCAATCTCACGATTACAAGTCCGGTAGCCTAACCACTAGACTGTCGCCGACGTCACTCGAAACAGAATATGAAAAAGCAAAAGCTAGTGTCAAAGAATGGACAGGTTTGTCGGCTACAGAACTGCTCGACAAGACGACAGACAGATCTAGAGGGACAGGGAAGAAACATCTCGACATGTTGTATATACTCTCAGCCCCATCCACCGCCTCCCAAACCGACGTCAATGGAAAAACAACAACAACAAAACAATCATCATTTCAACGCTTTGAGGACGCACGTTTTGGTCATTCATGATGATGATGATGATGATGATGATGATGATTGTGTATGTGTTTTAGCAGGGCATGTGTCTTCTTTTTTGTGAAGATAATAAATTTTTGTTGTTGTTTGTTTTGTTTTTCTTTTGTTTTGGGTTGGATTATTCTTTTTTTTTGGGGGG